CTGAATTGTCACTTACTGATACATTCCAATATAGAGTTGAATATGGCTGACCCGGATCGGTTAATGCTACATCAATGTCATCAGGACATTGTAACATAGGTTTTCCAGTATCTGCAAAATGTGTAACATTTCAAAATGTCATAAACTGTTGATAGTGCTCTTTATAATGTTTATAGATTCTAATCATTTTCAAACACACCAAACTGCAGATGTTGACTTTGTGTAATGTATAAAAAAATTGTAAAACCCCTTTACCTCGGACAGTTATTGTGAAGGAACAGTTGTCTGTATTTCCAAATACGTCTGTAATAACATAGTTTAATGTTGTCATGCCAACGGGAAACGCATATCCAAGTACATCAAAAAAGTACTCTGTATTAGAACCTGACAATACAAGGTCATATATAGAATCTGTGTTGTCTGAGTAGTTGACTGACCAGCTGACCTCTGCTACGGCTGATCCCTCATCAGTAGGTACATCAACGTTACTTGGGCACAAAATACTTGGATTTTCTACATCTGAACATCAACAGAAGTGTAAGACGTATTATAATCGCTTAGAATTTTCCTATTACATTAACGTATATTAATTATTGACCAAACGCTGTAACACAACTAGATATGACTGTATCAGAAAAAAAAAGATTAGTCTACAAAATAACAGCTATTAGAATTGTTCAAATACATTTTTATTATGATAAAAATCTGCCTACCAATTACAGAAACATAAAATACACATTCTGCAGTATTGCCGTGCACATCCTCAGCTTCGCATGATACATTCTGTCGTTCAATTGGCCAGATGACGTCAAACCTGTCACCAGATACTCTGCTACAATTCCATGTCACACTCCCTGAATTGTCACTTACTGATACATTCCAATATACAGTTGAATATGGCTGACCTGGATCAGTTAATGCTAAATTAATGTCATTGGGACATTTTAACATGGGTTCTCCAGTATCTACAAAAGATTAACATTTTAAAATGCCATTTAACTGTTAATAGTTTGCCGATTTATTTCATATGTTTATGGATTCAAATTGTTTTAAAACATATCAAACTGTAGATGTTGCCTTTGTCGTAATGTAGGCCTATTTAATAAAATATTGACTTGTATTAACCCCCTACCTCGGACAGTTATTGTGAAGGAACAGTTGTCTGTGTTTCCAAATGCGTCTGTAACAACATAGTATAATGTTGTCATACCAACAGGAAATGCTTGTCCAGATTCGTTGTACTCTGTACCAGAGCCTGACACTATTACTTCATATATAGAATCTGTGTTGTCCGTGACATTGACTGACCAGCTGACCACAGCTACAGCTGACCCATCATCATTAGGTACATCAATGCTACTTGGACATGAAACACTTGGATTTTCTTCATCTGAAAAGCAACAGAAATGTAAGAATATTATAATCGCTCAGAATTTTTCTATTAACAATAACGTAGAATCATTATTGGCCAAATGCTGTAATGCAAACTAGATATGACTATGTAAGAATATAAAATGGTAGAGGCCTATAAAAAAAAAACAGCTATTAAGATTGTTTAAATATATTTCTACTATTAACAAACTCTGCCTACCAATTACAGTAATATAAAATACACATTCTGCAGTATTGCCATGCACATCCTCAGCTTCGCATGATACATTCTGTCGTTCAATTGGCCAAATGACGTCAAACCTGTCACCAGATACTCTACTACAATTCCGTGTCACACTCCCTGAATTGTCACTTACTGATACATTCCAATATAGAGTTGAATATGGCTGACCCGGATCGGTTAATGCTACATCAATGTCATCAGGACATTGTAACATAGGTTTTCCAGTATCTGCAAAATGTGTAACATTTCAAAATGTCATAAACTGTTGATGTAACTGTTTTATAATGTTTATAGATTCTAATCGTTTTCAAACATACCAAACTGCAGATGTTGACTTTGTGTAATGTATAAAAAAAATTGTAAAACCCCTTTACCTCGGACAGTTATTGTGAAGGAACAGTTGTCTGTATTTCCAAATACGTCTGTAATAACATAGTTTAATGTTGTCGTGCCAACGGAAAACGCATATCCAAGTACATCAAAAATGTACTCTGTATTAGAACCTGACAATACCAGGTCATATATAGAATCTGTGTTGTCTGAGTAGTTGACTGACCAGCTGACCACTGCTATGGCTGATCCCTCATCAGTAGGTACATCAACGTTACTTGGGCACAAAATACTTGGATTTTCTACATCTGAACATCAACAGAAGTGCAAGACGTATTATAATCGCTTAGAATTTTCCTATTACATTAACGTATATTAATTATTGACCAAACGCTGTAACACAACTAGATATGACTATATCAGAAAAAAAAAAGATTAGTCTACAAAATAACAGCTATTAGAATTGTTCAAATACATTTTTATTATGATAAAAATCTGCCTACCAATTACAGTAACATAAAATACACATTCTGCAGTATTGCCATGCACATCCTCAGCTTCGCATGATACATTCTGTCGTTCAATTGGCCAAATGACGTCAAACCTGTCACCAGATACTCTGCTACAATTCCATGTCACACTCCCTGAATTGTCACTTACTGATATATTCCAATATACTGTCGAATATGGCTGACCCGGATTGGTTAATGCTATATCAATATCATCGGGACATTGTAACATAGGTTCTTCAGTATCTACATAATATATAACATTTTAAAATATTGGCAGCCTTTCACACATGTTTCATTTTTTGATACACTTGATTTTAAATAATTTCCAAACATATGTCAAACTGTAGATGTTGCTTTATTGTAAAATATTCTAATGAAACATTGACCTGTATATATCATCCTTACCACTGACAGTTACTGTGAAGGAACAGTTGTCTGCGTTATCAAATGCATCTGTAACAACATAGTCTAATGTTGTCGTGCCAACAGGAAATGCGTGTCCAGATTCGTTGTACTCTGTACCAGAGCCTGACACTATTACTTCATATATAGAATCTGTGTTGTCCGTGACATTGACTGACCAGCTGACTACAGCTACAGCTGACCCATCATCATTAGGTACATCAAAGCTACTTGGACACAAAACACTTGGATTTTCCTTATCTAAAGTGATATATAATCAATAACGACACAGTCAAATTAATGTTGATCAACTCTTTAAGCCAACCAAGTTAATATTATAATGTATTTAACGTACCATAATATAGCAATGCATGGCAAACAGTATGCCTATCTTTAGACC